AAAATGGCCTCCTGGAGGCTCTGGAAGGAGGCTATTTTCCCCTGCCCAGAGGCTCAAGGAAAGCCTCCAGAGCCCGGGGAGGATGAAAATGCCCTCCTTGCCATGGTCCAGGAGGTTGAATAGACCACGCCCACACAGCAACAAGGCAGACAACCAAGTTTTTATTTGTTTACAACAAACATACAAACAAAACATAAAAACATAAAACCCTCTTTCAATTATATACATACAGTGTGTCAGTTGGTTACAATATTTTGGGCTATCCTTTTTTTTTTTACCATTCCTCACAAGTTATATAAATTCTCGCCTTATCGGTCTAGCTTGTGCTTATATAATATCAATTATTAAACATTCATTTTTTCCTCATCATTTTATACAAGAGATTCTAATTTTCATTATGATTTAATCTTACACATTGATCCAATGGTTATATATTTTATATTGTATTCTTTATCAATCTATTAACTTTTATTGTAAGGCTTACTAATCTATTTCTTTACCATGTCTTTTTATCTAACCATTGATAAAATAAATCCCATAGCATATAAAATTGTGGGTGGCTAAATTTTTTGAAGCCCACCCCTGCCTGAGTGTGTGCCATGGACAGCCATCTTAGGAAGACCCCTCCCTGGTTCTCAGAAAGATGAAGGGTAGGAATGCGGTGTGGGGGAAGCTTTTTCAGAGTTGCAAGATTCTGTCACTCAAACCTCATAATAAAAGTAATATTAGCCTTTGTAAGTTTGGTTTCCAAGTCTGCTCTACTTGCAGGGCTGACATCGATTCCGCCAGCTAAACACACTTTCCCCCTCCCTCCCTCCCCTTATCTTTGCAAAAACTTGGGAGGGACCTAACCGAGACTCAAATTACAGCTCTGTCCTGGACTCAAATTTCTTTTATCTGATTGTTGTCTTGGTGATAGTTCATCCTCCTGTTCCTTCTTCCCACTGCGATAAATGACTTGTGTTCAGACAACAAACTTGGTCAGGTTAGTTCAAGACCTAGCGTCTGTATTTGCCCAGTGTGCATTAAGCCCAGGGGTGAGCTGCTGGGGGCTCGCAGGGGGTCAGGAGAGCCCCTAGCTAAGAACCTGTGCAGTTGGGAGAACCCTCAAATCGCACCCCTGGCTGACCCCGTCCACCCCAGATCCCCATACGGCCCATTTGGGATGCAGGTAAGTGCAAGGCCCACACAGAGGCTCAGGGAGGATTAAAAACAGGCCTCCCAGAAGTTTGGGAAGGCCAGAAATAGGCCCGCTTCCGGCTTCCGGAGAGCCTCCGGAGCCCGGAGAGGCTGTTTTCACCCTGCCGGAGGCTTGAAGAAAGCCTCTGGAGGCAGGGAGGGCAAAAACGCCCCACCCCCGCCATAGTGCAGGAGGCCAACTAGGCCACGCCCACCATGGCCACACCCACCCTGCACAGAACCCGTTGCTAAAAATTTTTGAAGTCCACCTCTGATTAAGTTTGACTTGTGCTCAGGCCTGTTGGATTCGAGTGCTAAGCTATTAGTATGAATGACAAATCTATGCAGGGAGAGGCTGGAGAGGAAATTCCAGGCCTCCAATCCAGCCTGCAAGCCAACTTTGCAGGAAAACAGATGTTTCCTGTCTGCTTATTTTGATCGACTCACTAACCTCAAAATGCTTTTGGGGCATTAAGTCCCAATATAAACCACTTGGTATGAGAGAGGGAGAAAGAAATATATATTTTCCACCAATATGCCAGCTATGAAATTCACTTCACAGTTCCTTCCTGATTCAAGGAATCTGCTCATTCCTGGAAGGTGTACCTGCTCAACCACAGGGGGAGGGAAAAACCCACCTCCTGAGATAGTCCTAAAACTATGTACTGTATTCTGATTTCATTTGGTTGAAAAATAGCCTGTGCTAGAAGAAATCAACTGGAATTTGCCTGTGTGTGAGAGAGATAGCTATAATAAATGAATAAGACATAGTATGTTATGCCAAGGTTTGGTTAGCTGTGGTTTAGTAAATACATTCTTCAACACCAGCAGCATCTGGTGTTCTAAAGATTACTGAATTATAATTTCTGACATCTTCAGCACTGGCTATTCAAGGAGAGATGGTGTTGGATTCATAGTTCTTTTAATAGTCTCTATGCCCTTAGTTGACCCACACACCTGGGATTTCCAGTTCTTTTAATAATCTATGCCTTTAGCTGACCCAAACATCTGGATTCCAAGTTCTTTTAATAGTCCATGTCTTTAGCTGATGCGAACATCTGGATTCCCAATTCTTTTAATAGTCTGTGCCTTTCACTGACCCAAACATCTGGATTCCCAGTTCTTTTAATAATCTATGCCCTTACCTGCTCCAAACATCAGCTTAAACATCCATCCATCATCAGAAACATGGAAAGAAGGAGGGTCTGTTTTTAGACAAACTGAAAAAGGTATTACCTAGGATAATATAATATAATCTATATCTATATTTTATATTATTATTAACATGCTCTGATGATAAGGAGTTTTAATCCCCCTCCCCACCTGAAAAGAAATCTGTTCCAAATGCAAAACACAAACAGAGGAATTTCAGTTTTACTTTCACAGCATCAAGCAGCTTTAGTACAGAACAGTTGAGCTAAGCCAGGCTCCTTGTTGTCTCCTTTTTGCTCACACAACAAATACTGTTTCAGTTCCAAACAGCCCTCAACTCTCTCACGCACTGACAGGACACTATCCAGGTGAATACTGCTGGATGCTGGTAGGCAGAGGCAGAAATTTTTTCCCCTTATTTTCCTCCCCCAAAACTAAGCCCAACCACATAATTTCGTAGTGAAGCACGGGTATTGAGCTAGTATTTTATATAAAAATGCTTAAGAACCCTAGCAACCGCTGCCTCAGGGAAGAAAAGAAATCAAGTGAAGTGATGCTGGAAGAAGGCCCCCCTTCTCCTTTATAAAAATAAACACGGCTGCCAGAGAGCAACTCAATAATATCTGTTTGCAAATGGAATTAAACTCCATCAATAAAGACTGCAGGTTGGGGAGAAAAAGAATTAAGTCCCTAAGTAGCCTGTGAAGATGCAACCCACAGCAACCAATGTGAGAACAATAGCCTGCCACACATACACCTTTTTCAAAAGAGGATTCCTCATCCAGCTCAAAATAACGTATAAGAAAAATGACAATAATTCTCAGTCCCAACCAAGTCAACCAGACGAAGAAGCGTCACAACATGAAGACAGATTGCTTTTATTGAAAATGTCTACAAAACATACGTCCCCACAAGGGAAAATGAGTAGAGAAAAAAAAAAGGAAGATGTCAAAGCTGTTTTAATTAAAGAGAAAAACTTATCCAGAGTGTTTCCATCTGGAAACCATTTCTGGACTTTATGCTCAAAATAGAAAAAAAAACAAATAAAACTTTGATCTTGGGTTTCGAAGACTAGATCAACATTGTTGTTACAGAAACAATTTATGTCTACTAGAAACACAAAGCATAAAAGTCGAGATGACAACTGCATTTTGTATTGTACTGCACGAAAAAGAGCCGGAAGTCATTCCTTCTTTTTTCTTTCTACCTGCCTTCCCTTTTCCTTTCTGAACTTAATTCAACCCTTTGTATTTTATATTACGATAAACTCTAATAAAAGCTTTTTAAAAAGGGAGAGAGAGAGGCTAGAGTAGCAGAGTCTGGCAAATCCAATTCTGCTACGTCCTCTCCCCCTTTTATATCCACCCAAATGAAGGAGCTCTGTCTGAGTCTTTTATGTATCTTTTCTGCTTGCTTTGGACTTAAGCCATGTTTTCCTCTTGTCACTTTGGTAACAGATCCGGTGTACATCTGGCAAAGTCATTTCCCTTGCTCTTTACAATAGTCTATCTGTTGTCTGTAATTTGTTTGTTGGATTAACCAAGTTTTTTCTCTCGGGATTTGACTGGATGGAATCAACGGCTGAGAAACATGTATGAAAATGCAAACCCCCCTCTCTCTCTCTTTCTCTCTCTCTCTCTCTCTCTCTCTGTTGTTGTTGTTGTTGTTAGTTGCGAAGTCATGTCCAACCCATTGCAACCCCATGGACAACATTCCCCCAGGCCTTCCTGTCCTCTACCATCTTCTGGAGTCCATTTAGCTCACGCCAACTGCTTCAGTGACTCCATCCAGCCACTTCATTCTCTGCAGTCCCCGTCTTCTTTTTTTGTCCTCAAACGTTCTCAGCATTCAGGTCTTCTCCAGTGAGTCCTTCCTTCGCCTTAGGTGGCCAAAGTCTTTGAGTTTCCTCTTCAGGATCTGGCCTTCTAAAGAGCAGCCAGGGTTGATCTCCTCTAGGATTGACCGGTTGGATGGCCTTGCAGTCCAAGGGACTCGCAGGAGTCTTCTCCAGCACCAGAGTTCAAAGGCCTCAATTCTCTGGAGCTCAGCCTTCCTTATGGTCCCACTTTTACAGCCATACATTGCAACTGGGAAATCCAGAGCCTTGTTGTTGTTGCTTTTCAAAATTACAAGCAGATGGATGGGAATGTGACAAAATAAATGAACATTGGAAGAAATTGAAATGGATCATTCCATTCTGATCTTACTAATTCCATCTAAGGCTTAGGTTTTATCTAGGGCTACCAGAACACATCAAGATTATGTTGTCCAGCAACTGGTAAACTGCAGTTCTCATTCATTTCCCACACCTGATATGCAGAAGATCATTTCTCAAACGGACTGATAAAGAGGAGCTGATGGTTTTCAAAATTGCAAGCCGGTACAGTTTTCCAGAAAAATGAAGCTTACGTGCCTGTTTTTCTTCCTTTCTATTGGAAGACCTTAAAAAAAATGGCACTGATGATTTTGGCACTAGAATAAATTGTATAAAGAGGCTTTATATGAAAGTCATGTTGATGGAGTTCCTGTGGGATAACTAACATCTTTCTTCCTAATAAATGCTACTAATCACAACATTATGATTTATGATGAATGTATTTTTATTATTATGATTTATCACTTATAGCTTTATGTACAATGAGAGCTTATGTGTGTCTACTTAGCCAATAAAGAATTCTATTCTACTCCACTCCACTCTACTCTACTCCTGTTCTGTTCTGTTCTGTTCTAATCACACCCTTTGAGTTTGTTCTAGAGCCACAAAAAGAAAGTCTGTCTTGGCTAGGGCTGAAGGGAATTGAAGACCGTACATCCATCTGATAGTGAATGAGAACCACAATTGAACATCAATTCTCACCATCACAATTAGTGATAACATTACAGCCCATTAGCCTGCCCTTCTATTGTTAGAAACCACTCCTGGACATCAAAAACATTAAGTCAAGTGCTGTGAGCCTCTGGAGTAATAAATCTTTCATGGTTTTCTTTTGAAATATCTATGATTGTAGAATATACAGAAGCTGGAAGCAAACTGGACCACTGAATCTTAAGGTGACCTGACGATTTAAAGCATCTAATGAAGTGTACGTTGGATGTAAGCTACAGCTCACCAAAAAAAAAAACTATTGCTTTTAATAAACTTTCTTAGCTGAAAAAGTGCTACCAGACTCCAGATTTTGGAATACCCTAGGCCTATTCGGTTTTTCTCCTACGATGAAATCTTTACACTTGGCAAAAATCAAGCCAGGAGTTTCCTAAGAAGGATGCCAGAAAGAATTGTGATGAAGAATCCAAACCATCTGGGAATGGTATTAACGCCCCCAGAGAACTCTTCAATTATAATCAAGTCATTCCATTGGCCAATGGTTGTGAACTCCTGTTGGTAGATTGAAGAATTTGGTGTGCATCGCATAGTGTGATCTCCACTGTTCTCAGGAGCTATGGCTTCATATCCAACCAAGCTATCGCAGAGAGCTTTGTTTGCACATCCCTTCAAGCTGACCTCGAGAGGAAGTATCTCTGTGGAGAAAATGAAAGAGCTGAGTGCCAAGATTGGGTCTATTACAGTAAACACAGTACAACAGGGGGTATCAAACTTGATTTCATTGAGAGCCACATCAGGGTTGTTGTGTTTGACTTTGGGGGGGGGGGGGGGGGGGGGGGGGGGGGGGGGGGCTAGCCCAGCCTGGCATCACTCACCTCAGAAGTGCCCGCGGGCGGATGAGCTCTCTGCCAGAAAAAATGGGCTCCCAATCTCTGTTTTCAGCTGGGACAGCCTCCTGCAACCTTCTGCCCGTGAAAACTGAACTCCGTTTTCTCAGAGGGCTGCAGGAGGCTGTCCCAGCTGAAAATGGAGATTGGGAGCCCATTTTCACTGGCAGAGGCACCATGGGCCAATGGGCTGTTTCCAGGGCAATCCCACAGGCCAGATCTAAGCACCCTGCAGGCCAAATCCGGCCCGCGGGCCTTGAGATTGACACCCCTACAGTGTAACAAAATTGGAAGACACTTTGGAAGTCTTCTACTCCCAACTCCCCGGTCTAGCAGGAAACCCTAAACCCGTGAGGGCAAACCTATGGCACGGGTGCCGGAAGTGGCATGCAGAGCCCCTTCTGCCAGCAAGTGAGAGGTCATCCAAAAGAGCCTCACTGTGCATGTGCGTGCATGCTGCCACCCAACCACTGACTATCGGGTATCTGGCGTACATGCACGGGGGCGGGGGGTGGGTGGGAGATGCACACACATGCACAGAGGCACATGGTGCATGGGGGGGGATCATGTGTGCATACGCAGGGATGTGTGGCATGGGGGGGTCATGCATGCATGCACAGGAGGCTTGAGGGGGGGGGCTGCATGCATTGCCTTTCAGGAGCCGAAAAAGGTTAGCCCTCACTGCCCTATACCATTCTGTCCATCCTCTGTTAAAAACCTGATGGAGCACCCATAACTTCTAAAGGCAAGTCCTTCCAGTCATTAATCGTTCTCATGGTCAAGAAGTTTCTCCTTTTAGTAAGAACAATTCATCAGTGGAACGAGTTGAACTGAAGCCCATTCCTCTTTCCCCAATAGTTTTCATGGAAGAGCTGGCCAACCTGAGATGTTCCTGGTTAGGTTGGACTACAACGCCCATCGTCCTCCACCTTTATCCTTTCAGGTTGAAAAAAAATATGGCAGTTATGGTGTGAAATACTAGGAAGGTATTTTATTTTTGTCTGCCATTATCACAATGAAACAGACATCATGAAATTAGATTCAGACAAGTACGATAAAAATCTAGAAAGAATTATACTGGATGTTCTCAAGAAGGTTGAAGGAGGATGTGGGGATAATGTGGTCAAAAATCCAGGGAGGGAGGGAGGAATTTCATTATTACTCCTACAGTTTGGGGAAAATATAGCTTACAGCATGCCACCCAGTGGTGGGATTCAAAGTTTTTTACTACTGGTTCTATGGGCATGGCTTGGTGGGTGTGGCTTGGTGGGCATGGCAGGGGAAGATGGCTGCAAAATCTCACTCACTCCCACCCCGCTAACCTGCTTTCCAGCTCCGTTCTCCTGTGCAGGGCAACCAAAGAAGACCCAGCCAATCAGCTGGGACTCAACGGGAGGCAGAGAAGAGATGGGGTTGGCGGGGCCAGTCAGAGGAGATATTTGCCGGTTCTCTGAACCACTCAAAATTTCCACTACCGGTTCTCCAGAACTGGTCAGAACCTGCTGAATATCACCTCTGTTGCCACTGTTGTGCAATCCACACAAACAAAATTGACTTGAAAAATCCATAGAAAGCTACACAACCAACCAACCAACCATGGCTTGGCCAATTGTGTGAATGCAACCTGGCGGCTTCTAAGACAGACTTCCTCATGGAGACTTCTATTGGAAATCTTCAGCTAGAGCGCTGACCCTTTTGATTCGATGGAAATTGTCATCCATAATCAGGCTAATATAATCTGAGGAAGGTTGAGCTAAGTAGATAATTACCCATTCCTGAATGCAGAATTCCTTCGGCACAGTACAGCTCATCTCCAGTGCAATCAGTAACTTCTTCGTGACATGTTCTTCCCAATGCAAAGCATGCTGGGCACTGCTTCCCATTGACTTGGGCCTTCTTGGGCAATTCTATAGAAAAGATAGAACCATTAGATCTATGGTGGGATTCAGTTTTTTTTTTTACTACCGGTTCTATGGGTGTGGCTTGATGGGCATGGCTGGGGAAGGACACTGTAAAATCCCCATTCCCTCCCCACCCCACTAACCTGCTTTCCAGCTTCGTTCTCCTGTGCAGGGCAACTAAAGAAGACCCAGCCAATCAGCTGGGACTCAATGGGAGGCGGAGAATAGATGGGGGTGGGGCCAATCAGAGGTGGGATTTGCCAGTTCTCCGAACTACTCAAAATTTTTGCTACCAGTTCTCCAGAACTGGGCAGAACCAGCTGAATACCACCTCTGCATCAGACATGAGATTAGAAACAAATATATTCCCAATGAAAAGGGCTTTAGAGCACGGGCCTCCAACCTTGGCTAACTTGATGACTTGTGGATTTCAATTCCTAGGTTGCCATGCTGACTGAGGAATCCTGGGATTTGAAGTCCACAAGTCATAAAACTTCCAAGATTGGGGCCCCCTGCTTAGTGGGAATAATCAGGGATTTGTTGTCTTCACCAGGATTTTTTTACATGACTGACCAACCTGCAACTGTAATTATATGCTGCATTTTTTGATAAGACTAACCTCTTCATCTAACAGATGTGCTTCCTTTGATATGCAACCTGAGGACACAGCAATCAGCGGGAAACCACTTGTGCGTGTGTAGAAGGAGACACTAACAAATGTTTGATTGCTTTGCCAAATGTGCAATCATCACTGAACGTAATGCTTTTATTAAATATTAATAACACTTATTAAGAATATTCATGACAAGGTACCGATAGTCCTTGACTTACAGCAATTTGCTTAGTGATCTTTCAAAGTTACGACAGCACAATCTGGGTCCTCATTTTACCAACCTCAGAAGGATGGGAGGCTGAGTCAACCATGAGACGGTCAGGAATGAACTCCTGGCTGTGGGCAGAATTTGCCTGCGATGCTGCATTCTAACCACTGTGCCACCATGGCTCATGTTGCATTGAACCCCACAGCTACCTCTCAAACCTCTTAAGTAAGGGGAGTAAGAGTGACGTGATAGCAGTGTTCCAATATTTGAGGGGCTACCACAAAGAAGAGGGAGCCAAGCTATTCTCCAAAGCACTTGAAAGGCAGGACAAGAAGCAATGGGTAGACACTAATCAAGGAGAGAACCAGTGGAACAACTTGCTTCCAGAACCTCTGGGTGCTCCAACCCTGCAGGTTTTTAAGAGACTAGGCAGCCATTTGTCTGAAATGTTGGAGACTTTCCTGATTGAGAAGAGAGTTGGATGAGAAGCAGTGGTGGGCTGCAATTTTTTTTAACAACCGGTTCTCTGGCTGGGTAGGTGTGGCTGGTTGGTCATGTGACTGGGTGGGTGACATCACTCATCACACTCAGTCCCACCTCCCGGCCACTAACCTCAAAGGAAGAGGGAGGATTCAGCTGGTTGGGGCTGACCCCATCACTGGCTGGCTCCGCCCCTGCCTGTTTTGGGCCGGGTTTCTTGGTCATTTTCAGACCATTTTGGGGGCCATTTTCAGGATGTTTTCAGGGTATTTTTGGGCTATTTTCAGGGTGTTTTTCAAGCCATTTTCAGCTATTTTTCAGACTGTTTTCAGGCCATTTTTCAGGCCATTTTCAGAGCATTTTTGGGCTATTTTCAGGATGTTATTTGGGCCATTTTCGGGCCAAAAACACCCTAAAAACAGCCCCCAAAACAGGCCAAAAATGGGCGGAAGTGGGGCCAGCCAGTGGTGGGATTTGCCAGTTCGCCAAACTGCACCTAATCTTAACTACCGGTTCACTAGAACCGGTGCAAACCGGCAGTAGCCTACCTCTAATGAGAAGACCTCCAAGGTCTCTTACAACTCTCTTATTCTGCTATTCTGTTCTGTTCTTCTGGAATGCAAGGTGTTTGCCTCTCACTTAAGATTTCCACCAACTTTCCTACCTAGTCGTGATGCGAATTGCAGTTCCCAACCCATCTGAAGTGGAGGACAAGACAGGGAAACCCGAGCGAGAAGAACCTAACACAGACATACCTGGAGGGACTGTTTTTCTACATTCCTCTCCTTCGCAGCATTTCAGGTGGGCCACCGCTTTTCCTTTCTCGCCCATATTAATTACTTGAACACCTTTGTCACAGACGTCAGACGAGACACAGGTTTTTATATTCAGGGATAGTCCTGTGGGAAATGAAGTGAGGGAAACTGCTTTACCCCCAGAAGGAACCATGATGGTTGTTGCAGAGTCAGTAGGAAGCATGTTTGAGAACGAAGCAACAATTGGTATTTTTCCCCCATTTTCAAAAGCCAACCAAACTATTGGATGAATCCAGTTGGGTTGGATTCATGGTTGACTAAGTACTCCAGTGAGGAGTACTTAGTCCTTCCACCAAAGATTTCTCCCTTCAGAATTCAATCCAAAATGAGTAAGTAGAGGAGCTCTTGGAATAAGGGGATCTTAGCCATAAAAAAACTCTAAAGAGTACATATTTTTAATTGATGTGAGGCAATAGCAATAGCACTTAGATTTATCTACCACTTTATAGTGCTTTATAGCCCTCTAAGAGCAGTTTACAGAGTCAGTATATTGCCCCCAACAATCTGGGTCCTCATTTTACCCACCTCGGAAGGATGGAAGGCTTGAGCCTGGTGAGATTCGAACTGCCAAATTGCAGTAGGAGTAGCTTGCAGTCTTGCACTCTACCCACTGTGCCACCAAGGCTCCAAGATAAAGGAAAACATTGTTCTGTTCTAGTGGTGGGATTCAAATATTCTTTACTACCGGTTCTGTGGGCGTGGCTTGGTGGGCATGGCAGGGGAAGGATACTGTAAAGTCTCCAGCCAGAGGTGGTATTTGCTGGTTCTCCGAACTACTCAAAATTTCCACTACCGGTTCTCCAGAACTGGTCAGAACCTGCTGAATATACCACCTCTGGTTGTGGCCTTGCCTATTTCTTGGAAGCCTCATTCGTGAGATCTACTACAGATGGTCTAGGGATTAAGGCACAATGCTAAAAACTGGGAGACCGGGAGTTTTAATCCAGCCTAGCCATGAAAGCCAGCTGGTGACTTCAAGCTATTCACCAAGAGATGGTGAGTTCTAGTCCCATTTTAGGCATGAGAGCCAACTGAGTGACTGGCCCAATCACTTTCTCCCAGCCCAAAGTGTGGTCTTTGTGAGGGAATACAAGCCAGAAGAAGCATTGGGTATTTTTGCTGCTCTGAGTTGTTTATAAAGTAATAAAGGCAGAATAAGAATTAAATTAAATAAACCTCCTTGGGGCCTGTAGAAGATGCAGCTTCTTGTACTTACCCATTGGGAGGACCATATTAGTAACACTGCATCTGTCTTTCCCAATATCACATGTCACCATATTCCCAGAACAATCTCCTAGGCCAAGGCATTCTTCACATTCCAGAGATAATCCTGCAGCATCAACCACAAAAAAAGGACAACAAATTGTCTCCTTTCTTATTTTCTCTGGCCCGTTTGAGACCAAGGTCACAGCAAGACTTCACCAATGATCAACTGAGATGTCAAGGAGGGAAAAAAAAAAACTCTACTTGACAGATCCCCTGGAAGGGTTTGGAAGCTTTTCTCCTCAACTGTGGCACCTTCCAAATGTAGAGCTTCTGGATTCCTTAACTGTAGGCTAGCTCTATGAAGCTAGTTTAAGGAAATGGTGCACTAATTATATACTGCCCCATTGTGCTTTATAGCACTTTCTGGGCTGTTTACAATGTCAGGGTATTGCCCCCAACAATCTGGGTCCTCATTTTACTGACCTCAGAAGGATGGAAGGCTGAGTCAACTTTTAGCTGGTCAGGATCGAACTCCAGGCAGTGGGCAGAATTTGCCTGTATTCTAACCAGTGTGCCCCCAGGCTTCCAGATACCCAAAAGGTACACTATTGCCTAGACTTCCAAATATTTTTCAGGACGCCAAATAAAATAAATATGTGAAATTGAACTGTTACAGGTGATTTATTGAGTATTATTATGGTTCATAGCACAGTCAGCCAGATGTTCAGACTGGATTTGCCATTGTTATCCACCTGTAAAATCCTCCCCAAAGATCTGGCATAGGCAAATATTGTTGTTTGATGGTATTACAGGTATCCTCACAAGATGCCAGCTGTTCCAAGTAAAACTGCCTTTTACTATTGATCGATGGTGATTTTATCAATGCAAGAGGTATTCAAGAGGTGCTCCAGATGTTTTTGGATTGGACCCAAGAGATCTATTACCATTGGTATTGCGTAATATTATCCTGGTTCATCACATATCAGCCAAACATTCATACTAGATATGGCATTGTTTGCACTGTTATTATCATCATTATCATTATTATCAGTTGCTGCCCATCTTGTGGTTCGAGATGACTTTGAACAACTTAGTGGGAGATAAAACAGCCAAATATCCAAATTATAAATATAAAAAGAAATTAAAATTACAAAAAAAAAGTTAAACCAAAAAGCATGGGTTTGAAGCAGTGGTAAGAACATTGGAATAAAAAAAGAAGGGAAAAAGTTATTCTTGCATTTTTGGGCTAGCTCCAAAGTTCCTCCCTCCCTCCACATGTATGTACCTACATGTGTGTATATGCATGTACTATCTACATGTATGTATGTGAATATATATGTGGTGTGTGTGTGTGTGAGAGAGAGAGAAAGAGAGAGACAGAGAGACCGAGAGAATATTGCTAACCTCTATAGTAGATGGCTTAGATTCTTTTAACTCCAGTTAATTTCAGCCAAGTATTTTTTGCTAAATTTTGATCATGTTCAAATTTTCAATGCTTGCATCCCCAAAAATCAGAAGAGGGAAAGCTTTTAATATTTTTTTAACTTTAAGATTTGATGTTCAGATTTTAATTTTTAACATCAGTTCTTTGCATCTGGAGACTGCAATCCATTTACCAATGTGGGATTACAAAAGCAACAGAACTAGATCACCCAATTTATATTTCAAAGCAGTTTGCAGCAATATTCCGATCCTGTGGTAGATGATGGTACTACCATCTACTGATCTTGCACAGAATCTCACAGGGGTCTGCTTTGGAGAATCCTGGTACTTGAAATCTTCATGCCTTAAAAGTTGCGAAGCTTGAAAAACACTGGCCTAGAGAGCTCATCAGTTCCCAAAAGATTTCCCTTTCAGTATGCCAAATCGAGTGATTTCATTCTTTGAAAGTCTACAATCCCAATTTGTCCGTGCCACAAATTCTCTTGGAAAAATATGCTACGAATTTGCAAAAGCAGTGAAGGCACAGAAGCCATTCACTTCAAATATTTGTCACTCTTGCCTACTTACCTTCAATAATAAATACCGTGAGAAGGAAGAGGGTCGGTGAAGTCTTCATGACAGCTGAGTGGTGCTTTGTTCAAAGCAGACCTGGAAGTCCTGAATATAGGAAATTCTCTTATTTTGCCAGAAGCCGAGGAAGCATTTTTAACAGCAGCCTCAAACCACCACTTCCTGAAAAAGAAGGCGGGTTTAAGAAATAAAAGTGGTTTTCTGGAAGGATAAAAAAAGAGTGAGAACAGCAGGAATCCTTTACAGGAAACTACTAAACCTATTTGTTTCCTGTTTTGCTGTCCAAAAGTAAAAGTTAAAACAAACTTGTGGATGAAGCTAAATAAAATATTAAATGCTTAATACCCTGCCAAAGCTTACATATTTTGCTCGGTGCCAATTAAAAGTGGCACAGCCATATTCTTTCTCTTGCCCTAAAATCAAAGGCAAGGATTTGAGGTTCCTTGAACACTAACAAAGTCTCTTAAGCGGAGGTTTTCAAGGATCTGAAAATACATCGGAAGAGGAGAGCCTGTGTTGTGGCCCTCAGCAGCCAGCAGAGCTGGCAGCAGACTCGGATAGTGAGGAGGTTGGGGAGTAACCTGGGCCAGTCCTGGAGTCTGGGGGAGGCTCTGATGAGGGGTCTGCGTCTGAGGCAGAGATGGGCTCAGGGCCGCCTGACAGTTATCATCTGCCTTCAAAGTCAAAGATCAGTGGGGCAGAAGAACAGCTGGAGCCTGTGTACACGCACAGAGCTGCCAGGAGAAGAGAACAGTTAAGGAACAAGGGTCGACTTGGGAGTAAAGGCTCAGGTGGATGGTGAATGTCCCCTCCCATAGGGAATAAAGAGGAGCAAAAGGGGAGTGATGTTTGCAGGAGACAATTAGTTCAATTCATTAGTGTGAAGATGTGTTCCTGACTTCTTGCTAGGTAATTGCTGCTACAGCGTGGTGTTTGGAAGGTATCGGCCTGGCAATTCTCCAAGCCTGATAAAGGTCTGTAATTGTGAAATCTCACGAAAGACTGTTTGCCGGGACTTTTCTGGAGAGGAATTCCCTTGAACCTAAATAAAAGGGGTTTTATCAGGACAAGGAGCCTGCTTCATAATCTTGGGAAGCCTAGCTCAGAACACCATGATTGTGTGTGCGGTACAGATAGTCCCCGAGAGTCCCATCCCTGAAGAAGTGACTGATGGCCATTTTTCACACTTACGACCATTGGGGCATCCTCATGGTCATGTGACCAAAATATGGATGCTTTGCAACGTGTCCTGGTGTCATGTGGTCCCCTTTTGCGACCTTCTGTCCAGAAAAGTCAGGGGGAGGCCGGATTCACTTAACAACCAGGTTATTAGCTTAACAACTTCAATCATTCACTTAACAACTGGGACAGGAAAAGTTGGGGATACCCTTCTGACACACACATGTCCGATGACTTAGCCCACAATTTCATTTACCTCACAAGATGTTTTGCCTTATCATTTACGTCCATTTACTCGGAGCCAAGCCGCACTAAAAGCCTCCAATACAGGAAACACAATGTTGCCAGCCAATCAAGACAAAAAAAGCTACAAAACAGACAGAAGATATTAGAAACACCAATCAAGCAGAACACAGCAAACACAGTGTGTGTGTGTGTGTGTGTGTGTGTGTATTATGTATATCTCTATCTCTATCTATCTATCTATCTATCTATCTATCTATATGTATAGAGAAAGAGAGAGAGAGAGAGATGATGAGGATGATGATGATGATAGAGATAGATATAGAGATGATAGATAGATAGATAGATAGATAGATAGATAGATAGATAGATAGATAGATAGATAGAGGGGGATGGGTTGGAAAAAGGGGGGAAATTTTAGAATAGACAAACAGACCAAGCTGACTTAGCAATGGAGAAATGGATTTTGACATATTTACTGGAGCATAGATATGAGGAAGTGAAAGAGATTATATATAGCAAGGGGTTTTTCTACCCTGATGAGAAATGATGACTGTGAAAATTGTCAATGTCCCAAAAGGAATTGGCACTACAGGCGTTCTTCCTGAGGATAACTCAAACCTCAGTTCCACTCTCCACAAGATGTTCTTCAAGAATAAAAGGTGATTCTAAACACCGTTTTCTCAACTCGTGTTTTATGTCATTGGTCTCATAGGTGAGTCCTCATGGACTATGACAGAGTTTCATGAAATACAAGATTCTACACTTCAGAAACAACGGAGATTGTACATCACACCAAACCATTGTTGGTTCCCTTAAAATTTCAGTTTCCCTGGTTTAAAGCTCTTCTTAAACTATCCTTTCAAAAAGAAACAATGATGAATTGATAGGCTACTGGGTCAAGAGACTGGATGCTCTGGAGAGACCTATTCAAGCAAATTCTGACTCCAAGGGTCTGGTCCTCAGCGAGCAAATCCTGTCACCTGAGATTTTTGCTTCAGAAACCCTTTTGCTGATATTCAATCCTAGCAGGGCCGAATCCAAACCCAGTGAGACCTAGTAGAAACTGAGAACTCGCCCCACCTTAGGCTGAAACAGAATTTAGAATAACAAGAGTTGGAAGGGACCTTGGAGGTCTTCTAGTCCAACCCCCTGCTTGGGCAGGAAACCCTAGGCCACTTCAGACAAAGGGTTATCTAATCTCTTCTTCAAAACTTAAAAACATGAAAGCCTGCTGGAGGACTTTGGGCCTATCACCAGGAGACCCTGAGTTCTAGTCCTGCCTTAGGCATGAAAGACAGCTGGGTGACTTTAGGCCAGTTCGTCTCTCTCAGCCCACCTCACAGGGTTGTTGTTGTGGGGAAAAATAGGAGTGTTAGAAATATTCGCCTCCTTCAGCTACTTACAACTACTCACTTCAGTCTCACATACAATCATTTGATTCACGTGATCAAAATTTGGACGCTTGATAACTGACCCACATTTATGACAGTTGCAGTGTCCGGGGTCATGTGATCCCCTTTTGAGACCTTCTGACAAGCAAAGTCATCGGGGAAGCAAGATTCACTTAACAACCATGTCACTACCTTCACAACTGCAGTGATTCACTTAAACAATCATGGCAAGAAAACAGGGCTGGGTTTCAAAAATCCCAGCAACCGGTTCCCAGCCTAGTTGCTGGGTGAACGTGGCCTACTGGAATTTCCAGGAGGGCCATTTTTTTGCCTTCCCGAGGGTACAGAGGCTTCCCTCGGGCCTCTGGGAGGGCAAAAATGGCCTCCCCTGGGCTCTCAAGGCCCTCCAGAAGCTGGAAACAGACCCATTTCTGGACTTCTGGTACTTCTAGAGGGACCATTTTCCCCCTCTCAGAGCCTCCACATGGACTCTGCACTTACCTGCATCAAAAATGGGCCACGTGGAGATTCCTGGGACGGGAGGGGAGGGGAGGGGCGGGGCAGGGTGGGTGGGGCCAGCCGGCCAGTTCAAATATCGGTTCGGCGTACCAGATACAAATTTAACATCCAGTTCATGCGAACCGGTTCAAACCAGTAGAATCCCACCCCTACAAGAAAGGTCATAAAGTGGGACAGAGCTCGCTTAGCAAATGTCTCTGTCTAGCAACAGAAATGTTGGGCTCAGTTTGGTTGTAAATTGAGGATCTCTTGTAGAAAAGGATTATTATTTTCCTCGCACGGCAGAAATGAGAATTATGTAACAGGACCAGCGAAGGCAGGAAACATTATGTCACACATAAATATTCCTAATCTCCTTAAGTGCTGCAGGAGCCTCTCAGTACTGGAGGCATTGCTTTAATTGTACCGATGAAGAGGCCAGAAAACAAACAAAACCAGAATTCTGCAGAATTTCAAAATAGCACATTGGATTGGAAGGGAGAGAAAGTGCCACCCATTCAAAAACAAGCAAAAGGCTCTCTTGGTTTTTGTTAAAAGGGGCAATAAAATGAGGAAGATAGTAGTACCTCTTTTTTTCCTGTTATTTTTGATGACTTCCATCATTTTTTTGCTGTTTTGTTAATTAATGCATGTCTATCTGTCAGAGAATGCTTCATGCATCTCTAAATCAAACCATTTAAAGCAATTGTTCAGTTGAAAATGCAACTTGCTTGCAAATTCAAAATTCTCAAAATGTCCCTATTATGGAATACGTCATCATTGGCCCAACAGTTCTACACTCCTCCTCAGAACTACATGATCCAGGCTTCAAAGTTATATGAAGCAGGACATGGACTGTCCTTCATGCCAAAAATAAAAATAAAAATGGGAACATTGGGAGGGTTGGATTTCTTTGTGGAAAATGAAAAAAAAATGTGGTGGAAACACATCCAGCTTTGGAAAAAGGATTGGGGTCATCAACCCAATATTTGAGGAGCTGCCATGGAGAAGAGGTCAACCTATCATCCAAAGGACCTGAAGGCAGGACAATTGTAATGACCCGGGTGTGGCACAAAAGCAACAAAGTCACAAAAATAGGTCCCTTAATGCCTCCAACTTGGCCCTCAATGTCCAGTTATCGTTGGCTGGAGAAAAAAATGCTCCCAAAAACAGTTTTCAAAGGGAAGAAATTCCGTCCGAACTCGAAGTACATATAAATTATAAAGAAAAACAAACCACACTGCAGCAATTAACAAGACAGGGCAGGATAAGGGATTGAAGACATCAAAAGATAATGAAACATACACACTTGGGAGGATGGCAGAACTCAGATAAGACTCAACAAACCAGAATAATTTCACGCTTTGCTTCCAGCAACTTTGCTGTACACCCTTTTAAACAGCCTTCCAACTGCAACCAATAAAGGGGATCAGGGCCCTTTCCTCCCCCGTAAATCAACCCAATCATGTTGCTCCCTTATCCATTCCTTCCTGCGTGCCCTAGGATGGAGAGGAGGTGGACCTGGGTCTTCCTCTGAATGCCCAGCCGGACTTTCCCAGTTTCCTCCACAGCTACTGGAGCCACACCCCCACTCCCTGTCAGCTGTTCCACCTCTCCCTCGGAATCATACACCAACATGGGCATGACAACAATGGATGGAGACTAATCAAGAAGAGAAACAACCTAGAACTAAGGGGAAATTTTCAGGCATTAAGAACAATTAACCAGTGGAATGACTTGCCTTCAGAGATTGTGGGTGCTACAACACAGGAGGCTTTTAAAAAGAGATTGGACAATCATTTGTCTGAAATGATATAGGATTTCCTGCTTGAGCCAGGGGTTGGACTAGAAGACCTCCAAGTTCCCTTC